TAACCCCTTGTATGGGCTGCAGTGGGTCTGCGTAAAATTTTACTTTTTTCGAATTGTTTTTTTGGGTATTTTTTTTTTTTTTTTTTTTTTTTTTTTTTTATTGCTAGATAAAAGAATCCATGATGAAGGGTCATGGGGTAGATATTGTCCAAATCCCAAGCTTCATGGCTGGGACATCTGGACACCGGGGACATATCCCGAGGTCTTCGAAGTCATTGAAACTCAATTAGAAACAAAAACAACAAACAAAACTTGTCAACTCTCAGAAGTCGGTCCTACCAAAACTTTAGCTCATGCCCAAGAGCGATAAATTGGCATGTAAAGAACCAGTCATTTCGACCTCGGGGCCTTCAAAACAGTCAGATGCAAATGTCCGCGGCGCCGGGCGGTATCCCGCCGGTATCCCGCCCACCGGCGTATGAATGCCAACTCCAGGGCTTTGATTGGGTTGTCCCGGGGTCTCGGGGATTGATATAGTCTTCACATATTCAGGCCTATATAAGCTATGCCAACACCCCGCCCGCGGGTACCCCAGGTAGCCAATTTCAACCTCGGAACCTTAGTAGGACCTTGCGACCAATTTTCGATCCTTGAGCCCGAACACACCATGCAGTGAGTTTTTCCATTCTAATCAAATTCCTCGATTATCTCTAATCTGAGTAAGGGTCCAGTCAAGTCCTCGAATCATAGTCGATGAAAAAGACTATTACGATCTTGGCTCATATTCCAGACCAGTGACCACTTCGTCACCATTGACCCAACTGTGGTTTAATCGCGGTCTGATATGGGCATACTCTTTCAACCACAGTGAAGCAGAGCGATGCTTCCGGCGTGCAGCTGAGAGTGACCCCAGTTGCGCGATGGCGCTGTGGGGAATCGCATATGCAGCCGGGCCTAACTACAACAAGGCTTGGAGGTTCTTCGACCCCGAGGATCGACGCGCTTCCATTCAAAAGGTCAACGAGACTCTCATTCGAGCTCGTGAGCTAGCATGCCAGGCTACAGAAGTCGAGCAAGCGTTGATCAATGCAATCGGCGCCCGTTTCCCAGCCGCCGATAATATTCCTGATGATCTCGGCCCCTTCGACCGTGCGTATGCAAATGCCATGCGCGACGTGTATAAGAAGTTCCATACCGATATTGACATCGCTGCACTCTTCGCTGAGTCACTGATGTGTATCACCCCACGCGGTCTGTGGGACTTGGACACCGGCAAGCCTACTGGAGACCACACCGTTGAGGCTCGTAACGTGATTGAGCGAGGACTGAAGGATGACGCCGGTCGCAATCATCTCGCCCTATGTCACTTGCAGATACATATGTTGGAGATGTCGCCGTTCCCGGAACTGGCTCTCCCGGCCGCAGATCGATTGCGTGGCATGGTTCCGCACGCTTCGCATATGCTGCATATGCCTACGCACATCGATGCTGCGGTGGGCGATTATCGCCGTGGCGTTGAATCAAACCACGAAGCAATGCTGGTCGATGACATCTATTTTGCCAATGAGCCAGACACAATTCGGTATATGTCTTACCGGGCGCATTACATCCGTGCAAAAATGTATTCCGCTATGATGTCAGGCCGCTTCAAAGACTCCATTTCCGCTGCAGAGAAGCTCGAACAAATCATCGATTATGGGGTGCTGTCTGTGAAAAGCCCTCCGATGGCAGACTCGATCGAGAGCTTCGTGGCAAGCAAAGCACATGTGCTGGTCCGCTTTGGACGCTGGGAAGACATCCTTGATTTAAAGCTCCCCGTCGATCGTGAACTATACTCGGCGACAACGGCGATCATTCTCTACGCCCGTGGATTGGCATTCAGCGCACTGGGACGAATCGCAGAAGGCGAGATCGCCAGAACGGAGTTCGAGCAGGCGCGCAAGGCAGTGCCCAGCACCCGACTCAATAGCATTCCATGCAAAGAGGAAGATGTTCTCGCAGTCGCCTCGGCCATGCTTGCTGGCGAACTAGAGTATCGCAAGGGAAACATTGACTTGTCGTTCTCGCTCCTTCGGGAAGCCATTCTCCGCGAGGATGGTCTTGCATATTCCGACCCACCTCCTTGGATGCAGCCCGTTCGCCACGCTCTTGGCGGCTTACTCCTCGAACAAGGTCGCGTTGAGGAGGCAGAAGCACTTTTCAAGGAGGACCTGGGATTCGCTTTGGACTACCCGCGACGGAGAGCAAAGCTAAACAACATTTGGGGATTGCATGGTCTGCATGAATGTTTTACTCGCCTTGGAAAGACTGCTGAGGCGGGTTTCATTCAACCTACCTACGATATTGCCCTCGCTTCAGCTGATGTTCCCGTAAAAGCATCTTGTTTCTGTCGGATTTCAGCTGTCAGAGGAGACAGCTGTTGCTGATGGGTGCAACGCGGCAAAGGACGATCAAGAAATAGGTTCTGTCAGACTGAATCAATTGACCATGACGGATGAAGGAATAAGAGCCCTGGAGAGCTCCTTAGCTGATCTATTCTCTATGTATGGAATGCAAAAAAGTAAATTTGTCTTTTAAGAAAAAAAATACTAGAGAGGTCCTCTCAAAATGAATAACTATATCGCCGATCAATTCTACTGTAGTTCAAGGTACCAGCAATAAATATCCGACCTCAGGAGATGGGCCCAAAACCGTCTTGCTCGATGGTCACTACAGACAGGTCAGGATCATTTTTTGCACAGCAACAAATGATAAGAGCAAAAAAAAAGACAAAAACAAAAACATACAACAGTGAGGATTCGCTGGTGGTCACCCACCCAACTACTAACTCACCGGCGTGTGGCT